CGTGGCATCACAAACCTCCCTTGATACAATAATATCTCCCCCTCAATGCAGTAACCCGGATGGCTACTCTTATCCTTCCTCAAGTCCTCCCTAATCTTTCCCAATTCCTCATCTAAATTGCTTTCTTCTTTGATGGCCCCCCAGTCGACCATTAAAGGTATAGATAGAGCTATCTCCTGGAGCTCCCCCACACATCTGGATAGGGCGTCCGCTGCTTTATTTTCCAAACCCGGCCTGAACTGGATTTCGAAATCGTACTCCAACAATTTGGATAGCCACCGTTGATGCTCCTCCATCACCATCCTTTGCTCCGAGAGGTACTTTAAGCTCCTCTGATCAGTCCGGACAATGAAGTGTCGACCCAAAAGATAGGGGCGCTACTTTTGAATGGCCAAGACAATCGCCATCAGCTCCCTCTCATACACTGAGTTCAGTCTTGCCTTAGTTGATAACACTTGACTGAAGTATGTTATAGGCCTGTGGTTCTGCATCAATACTGCCCCAAGTCCATATCCTGATGCATCTGTCTCTACCACATAGGTCTAACTGAAATCTGGGAGAGCTAACACTAGTACTGTCGTCATGGCCTCTTTCAATTTCTCAAAGGCCTGGGTTGCTGCCTCTCCCCATAGGAAGTTGTCCTTCTTCAGCTGCTCAATCAACGGCCAGCAATGGAGCTGTACCCCTTCACGAATCGCCGGTAGTACCCAGTCAAACCTAAGAAACCCCTCAGCTCCCTTATGTTCCTAGGCCTTGGCCACTTATGCATTGCCTCAATTTTACTCGGATCTGCCGCCACTCCTTCTTGGAATACCACGTCCCAAGTACTCCACACTAGTTTGAGCAAAACTGCACTTTTTCAAATTGGCCTTTAATTGGTGCTCATGTAGTACTTCCAGAACCACCCTCAAGTGTTCCAAATGTTCCCCTCCAGTTTTGCTATACATCAGAATGTCATAAAAGAAGACCAGGACGAACCTCCTAAGGTACTGCTTGAATATTTTGTTCATCAAGAATTGGAAAGTGGCAAGAGCATTAGTCAACCCAAAGGGCATTACCAGAAACTCATAATGCCCTTCATGTGTCTCAAAACTATTTTTGGTACATCGGCTTCCTTCATCCTGATCTGGTGGTAACCAGATTTTAAATCTAACTTAGAGAACAACACAACCCCATATAGCTCATCAAGTAACTCATCAATCACCGGAATTGGAAACTTGTCTGGTACAGTGCCCTTATTCAGAGCCCTGTAATCCAAACAGAATCTCCAACTCTCATCCTTCTTCTTGACCAGGAGGACTGGACTAGAAAATGGGCTAACACATGGCCTGATGATCCCCGCCTCCAACATCTCCTGGATCAACTTCTCTATTTTGTCCCTCTGGATCTGTGGGTAACTGTAAGGGCGAACACTGATTGGTGTATCCCCTTCCTTCAAAGTAATGGCATGCTCCAATTCCCTCTGGGGTGGTAAACCCTACGAAGGTTGGAAAACCTCACTGAACTGATGTACAAGAGGCTGTACTGAGGAGGGAATATTGCCTTCTTCCTCAATTCTGATCCCTTCCAATCGGTGCAACTCCACCAAGTAGCCTCCCCCTTCCTCCTGGATGGTCCGGATTAGGGATTTGAGTAACACCCCAGCCTTGGTAAGCCCAGCATCTCCTTGGATCACCCTTCTTCTTCCCCCTATCACCAGCTCCATCCTTAATGTCCCCCAATTAATCTTGGTCTCCCCCAAAGTCTGCAGCCATTTCATCCCAAGGATGACATCCGTACTCCTCAATTCCAAGGGAAGGAAGTCTTCCTTCACATGGATCCCTTGAATCTTCAGTACTGCTCCTCAACAAACTCCTCTACCCATCTCCACCTTCCCGGTGTCCATCATCACCCCGTAACCTCCCGTATCCACCAGCTCCATCCTCAGTACATCAACAATCTGGGTGGAAATGAAATTGTGTGTTGCCCCACTATCTATCAACACCATAACCTCATGGCCAGAGATCTCTCCTTTCACCTTCCTAGTGTGACTCGAAGTGAATCCCACTGAGTTCAGAGAGACTTCTGCCACGTCCAGATGCAACTTCTCCTCCTCCACCTCGGGGCCACTCCCACCTCCCTCTTCGTCTTCCTCATCTTCACAAATGAGGAGAACCTGAAGAGATCGGTCCTTGCACCTACGCCCCGGCATGTACTTCTCATCACACCTGAAGCACACCCATTTTGCCATTTTCTCCTGCAGCTCCTTCTCAATTAGCTTTTTGAACTGTCCACCGTTGCCTCCTCCTCCCATCTTCTCCTTAGGTACTTCCTTCATGCTTCCGGGGCCTACCCCTTTTGCTCGTAAGAAAGTGGTCGTCGTCCTGTACGACCCCCTTGAATAGTTTCCCTGAGTCCCTCTTTCAGACTTCTTCTGGTCTTCCACCAACTGGGCCAACTCCATGGCCCTTCCTAGATTCCTTGGCTACAACACTCTGACTGCTGTTCTTATTTCCGGTTTCAGCCCGTTCATGAAATTCCCTTCCAAGGCTGACTCCGAGATATGATCCAGCCTACTAGCCAGATACTCAAACCTGTCCCAATAATCTGCCACAGTACCCTCCTGGGTAAGGGCAAAGAATTGCTCATAAATGTCTCCTCCCCCATCGGCTCGGAAACGCTCTAATAAGCATGCTTTGAACTCCGGCCAACTCCGGATAGGCTCCCGTCTGTCACGCCATTGATGCCAGGGCTAAGGATTTTCCCTCCAAGCACATTCCTACCGCTGTCAACTTTTCTTCCTCTGTCAGCCCGTTGACAACGAAGTAACGCTCCACCTTGTAGATCCAGCTATGGCCGTCTTCCCCCTCAAAGACGGGCATCTTCAGCTTCCTCACCCGTGGGTCTCACCCGTTTCTCCTGAATCCTCCGTAGCCTCCCATTCCTCGAAGATGAGGTGCTCCTCAACTGTCACGATCTTCCCTCCGGCGATTATTCTCGAACCCCTCTTCATACTCTCCCCTTCTTCCTTCAAAATCATCACCTTGACGCTGAATTCTTTCAAATTCAGCACCTCGGCGATGAAATTCTTCCCTTCTTTCTTCACAATCAGCCCCTCGACGCTGAATTCTTTCGAATTCAGCACCTCAGCGATGAAATTCCTCTCTTTCCCCTTCAAAATCAGCACCTCGACGCTGGATTCTCTCAAATTCAACACCTGGGCGATGAAATTCTTCTCTTCTTCCGATAAAATCAGCCTCCCGTTTGTCGTATCCCCTACTCATCTCCTCTCTAGAAAGCGGTTCTAGAGGGGGCATGTCGTTCTCCTCCTCCAGGATCTCCACCTCCGAATTCCTCCTCCCCCACAACGGGTTCGGATTTCCTCCCATGCCATGGCCGTCAGTGGTCTCTCTTACTTCCGATGTCGCCGAATTGGTCTTCATTTCAAGTAATTTCTTCATCATTTCTTCCATAACCGTGAACTTCCCTTTCAATCTTTCATTGTTGGAGGTGATTTGATTTTGAAAACCAAAAAATTTTCCTTCCAGATCTGATTTTAATTGTCCCAATTCACCTTCCAAGACTTCAACCTTCTTTCCGGCCATCGTCCTTCCCCACGGATCTCATGTAACTTACTTCCGGAAGCCAAAAGCTCGCTGAAAATTCAGAATGTCAGCCGCCTAAGGTTCCAAATCAAGGCTCTGATACCAATTTGATAAGAAATACTTGTATTCACAAGCAATCCTAACCAGTACAAGCACCACGACAAAGAAATAATGCTGTTCGCAGCAGTGAAACAGCCAAAACAGTGAAGAAAATGGATGAAAACTGAGAGAAAACTCAAAACACCGCTTGTATTCCACTAGACTATGTATAAAACAGCAAAGATACAATTTGTTCTTCAATCCGAGAGGAAGAACAACTCTTCAATCTCCGGCAACGCCAAGAGCCCAAGCAAGAAACCCTAGATCTCAAATCACAATTCAAAATTCAAGATAATCCCCCCATCCCTCCTATTTCCCCTAATTAACATGAAAGGATAATTAACACTTTACTTAAACTACCCTTACATTCAAAATTTTCCCCCCAAATTTGCATTAAGCCAAGCAAGGGGCCCACCCAATGTTCCGCCCCTCCATGTTCTATTCTTCCGCCAGTTGTAGACCTGGACCGGTCCAGCCGGCCCAGGAGGGGCCGGCTTCGTAACAGATACCTAACAGCCAATTCGACTCTTCACTTTTCCATTAGATAAATTTATAATTTCTTTTTTCCAACTTTCTCGTCCTCTCTTTGAATTTGATCTATGTTGGGAGGTGTGAAACATCAATGTCCATGTGTCAATAAATTGCAAACCAGTTATAGCACCTACATAAAGAATAATGATGACATAAGAAAAAAAAACCCTCATCTCTTGTGGGCCCTATGCTTCTAGGTTGTCAGTTACCAAACCTTTTAATCTCTAGAATTTTGGCATTTTTCTTGACATTTAAATAGATTATAAGTTGAATAGCTATTTTCACTCCTCTCCATGATATATCTAATGTACTAGATGCATCTAAATAAAAGCCATCAAATCTGAACTCATGCTTCATTTTATTGATGCAAGTGGATTCCTAGAGCTTGCATTGTATTGTGCATCAATCACTATCTTGCATAAGCAATGTTTCACTATGGCCTAAGATGAATGATACTTTACACCGTTCAAAATACATTAATTTTAAAAAAACCAATCCACGTCAGAACATGATAAACAGTATGAAGTTGGGAATACGCCCAATTAAATACTGGTTCTACAATTATCTGTTTCAATACTCAAATTAAGTACACAAGCTTCATATCATAATAAAGCCTAGAGGTAATGATAAATTTCAGCTTCATAAAGCATTATTTTTACTGATAAGCCAACCCAAGGAATAAGCATGATAATTGCAGTAACTTCACCAACTAAAAAGTGAATTTGCATCTTAGAAACTTTGACCATTTACGGCATAATCCCAAATTAGAGCAAAGCAGAAACTTACTGGAATGACATGGCTGGTTGCAAATCCTGAACAAATTGCGAGGCCATCTTCACTACAAATACCATGTTGCTGATTAAACTTGTAAGCGAACGCCGCATCTACACCAAAAGCTGCAGTGGAAGTAACCAACAGTGTCAAGAAACCCTTACAACCTCCCAAAAAAGGGGTGGAAAAGGGCCTAGAGATGCTTGACAATTTGCAAGAATGCTTAAAATAATGAATAATGCAATTTCGAACATGCTTATACCAAGAGATGGCACCCCATAAGTCTCAAAAAGAAGTTCAGCCATTTTACTCCTAGAAGAAATTGGATTGCAAATGCACTCTGTCATAAGTATGGGGTGATCCACCTGTTCTGCCCTCAAGTTCAACATAGCCATAAACATGTAAGTATGAAAACATAAATTAATAACTCGTAGACTAGAGTAATTTATACATCATATTGCTTCTACTTGGAAAACTCCATAGAACAACTTCAAAAATAAGAACAGTTGTACCAGGGAATTTCAAAGAATTAGTTCTGCAGTAAGCATTACTTAGAAAATGATAAAATGATCAAAATGGTCCCTTGACTTTTTATGAAAGACTAAAATAGTTCCTAACAATATTAAAGGACCAAACTATTCTTTTAATATAGCTGGAGATCATTTTGATCATTTATAAAGAGTCAAGGGACCATTTTTGTTCTTTTCTCTTTAGAAAATGAAAGGCCATTATATGATGCCTAATATAAGATGATGAGTCAGATAAATCTCACGCACAGCAAATCGCATGCAGTCAACCAACACATTCTCTCTCCAAAAAGTATCCTATGATGCTTAATAAACCTAGTTTTTTTTTTAAAAAAAAAAAAAAAACCAAAAATGGGCACGTGACATTTCTATTATATTTCTTAGGTTCAAAGAAAGGTTGCCCTACATCATTCTCCTCCACTTAACAAAGAACATGATGAGCTACTACATGTCACTCTTGCAAGTACTATGTTAGTGTGAAGTTTAATTTCATTAGCAATCTTGGATAATATTTTATCTTAATTTTTCAAGATTGGCAGCAACCAACTTAAGTTTTACTCCACCACCAATGACAAAACCACAGATAAAAAGTCCATGGATATTCATGTACCATTCAAGTCAATGGAAGCCCTTGGATGTGCATCATGTATCATTCCAGTGGCAATCTCTCCAAGTTCACACTGATATCCCCATACTCAATCTCATCACCGTCAATATAACTATCATCAATCTGTTAAATAGGACAGTAAACATCCTTTTTTAGGAAAACAAGTCAAAAGACACCAAAAATTCACATCTAAGCTCACTTACATGCTGATGATGGAGACCAAGTCTATTTCAGTAATGCTTTGGTTATAGAAAATAATGCTCCTATCTTATAGGAAGTTCTCCAACTCCACTACCTTCCTCGAACAATCACAGGAATTTATCTCGGAGGTATTTAATCAATCAGTACTAATGGATGCCCCAAGTTTAGCAACCTGTATTGCTAACTCATAGCATTGGATTGTTGCATACATCTACAGTTCTTACAGCTTCACATCTGCTCCAATTGCTGTATGAAGAGCAACAAATTGTCATGAAAGGTATGAGAGTCTACAACAGAGGAAGAGCCAACAAAGTTTTCCAATTACATGACTATGGTTCCACCATCCATCATGTCAAATAACCCCAGTTCTAGCCAAATTGGCTTTGTTACCACGTGAGAGCTAAATGTTGTCGGACGGTCGCCTAAATTTTGCAGTTTTTTGCCAAATGAATCTTTCTTGCCTCAACCTTTCTTTGATTCAACTAGATTACCCACTCTTAAATAATAGAAAATGGTGGAAAGAGGCACATATGAACACACTCTAGCTCATATGGGGGTCAATCTCCTAACCATTCTTCCACCATCTTCTCTCCAAAGATGACCAAATTACTCATATGTACAAGCGCACAAAAGTATGCTTTCTCTTGCACTCTGCTTTCTACAAGTGCATATCGCACAAACACTCCAAGTTGTGCTCCTTCAGCCAATGGAAGGTGATAATTGGTGGGTAGGGACTATTCAGGTGAAGATATAGTAAGTAGAACTGAGGTTCATACATGCACCACCTTGCCCGATCCAACCATACTAAGGGCGGGTAGTTGAGATTGGTGCGGAGGTTTACAACCATAAGCATAAATTGTATGGTTTACGACCTGCTAAGATTGCAATCACTTTCTATGTTACATATATGAACCAATGCATGGGATAAGCAACACTTGGTGAAATTTAAATTTTAAATTTCCCATGAAACACATCTATATGCATGATATTAAGGTATAGTAACATAGAAAAAAAAACATTCAGAACTCCTAGGGAGTAAGAATAAAAAATTCTAATACCTAAAATTTTGCCTATAAAAACTATTACCTAAGTTTCAAACTCCTGCCTAAAACTTCAAAAAAAAAATTATACAATAGTCTCATACATGTAAGAACCAATAAGTTAAAACAATCAAATTCCATTTCTGTCCTTAAACTCCATGAACATTGAATGCTTAACAGTAAGCATCCAGCAATAAATAACCAACAATAGTGGGACCTAGCCCACAAAGATGACTACACAAACCACCCAAATGACGTGGCATCCCCAAACAAGCACATCGATCGTGATTTCTCTTCCGACAATGGTGACAAACCAGGTTTGAATGTATTTTACCCGTTGATCAAACCTTGTTCGAACTAGATAGTGGTCTTACTTGTGCTTATATTTTGAACAACTTTTCTACTAAAGATGAATCAAGTATCAATATTCATGAGCTATATTGAAAAGATTTAAAAGAAGAAAACAAGTCAATTTGATGCTTCTGCATATACTGAGAAACAAAGCAAATGATTGATGGTTGAAAGAGCATCTCCCCAGAAGAACTCATAGATCTTATATATGAAGTTACATAGACTGATAAGAACCCAATTAAGCTTAAAGCTTAAGGAAATGTACCACTTTAGTGGAGCAAATTTTATGATATTAATTCCCAAGAGATTATGATATTGCTTTCTTTTTGAAAGAGATATTCATATCCATTCAGCATTTGTTCTTAGGTACAATACAACAACAACAACAACCCATAAAGCATTGCAGGTCTAACCACCATCTTATAGAATTTACCTATAAGTTTGAGTGGTACTTTTCTATCACATAACAAACCCGATGCATTCCTCCACGTCATTCATCCAACTTGAATTCTACTAATAATATCCCCATCTATTTTATCATCTCTGAACAACAAAACCAAGATATCTAAAACGTGCACTCTTATTAATGACTTGATTGCTCAAAGTCACAAACCCCCCACTAGATCTATTACTACTAAAATTACACTCAATGTATTCGGTTTTAATTCTACTCAAACGAAAACCTTTAGACGCTAAGGTTGATCTCCATAATTCAAATGTACCTTCAACTTCCTCTTTAGTCTTATAAAAAAGAAGAATATCGTCAGTAAAAAGTATACACTAGGGAACATCCTCATGCGAATCTCTAGTAAGAACATCCCTAACTAAAGCAAAAAGATATGAGCTTAATTAGGTTGATCCTTAATGTAATCCAACTAAAATTGGAAAATACTTGGTCAAACCACCTTGTGCTTGAACACAAGTAACAGCTCCAGCATTCATATCCCTAATGACTTGAATATAAGCATTATTAATCTCTTTCTTTTTTAGAACTCTCCATAGCACTTCTCTTGGAACTTTATCATACGCTTCCTCTAAATCAATAAATATCATATGAAGATCTTCCTTTTTCTCTCTATACTTCTTCATCAAACCTCTCAATAAATGTATGGCTTTCATAGTAGACATACCCGGCATGAATCCAAATTGATTTTCAAAAAAATTAATATTATATCGTAACCTATGCTCCATAACTCTCTCTCATAGTTTTAAAGTATAACCTATGTTGCACCAATACACCTATTTATGAAGGCTTGTTGTATCAGATGTGTCAGACACGGATACGCGTCTGAAACGACATCGATACGTGTCAGATACGGCAAAGCCATATCCAATTAAAATACTATTTAATTTCAAAACGACACGCGTGTCTGTTGAAAAACGAAAAATAAATAAATTACGCGTCGTATTTATTTCCATGGTGCAAGCGATGCTCTCTCATTTCCGAACCCGCGAGACGAAGTGTTAGGGCTCCTTCGTTTCTACGACTGGAGAGTGCATTCACGGCTGCAAGCGAGTTTCGTCTTCGTCATTTTGTCGAAGGAGCAAGAGAGGAGAATCGGTCAACGTTGAGCAGGCCAGGCGACCAAGGTCCTCTTTTACACAATCAATATAATATAAAAGAACATAAAAGGCCATTTTTTTAATTAAAATTTTGCCAATGAAAAAATTATATCTCCTTTGAGTCATTTATATTGATGTTAGTTTACTAGAAAATAGGATATTCGGGCATCAAATTATTTTGCATTTGTAATGCTTTGATTTTTGTTTCATGTATTAAAAAAGCATGTCATTGTGATTTGTATATCTTCTTAAATGGGAAAAAAGAAGTTTAACTCATCCAACAAAATAATTAGAATCATGCCATAAAATTCTTATTAGACAATGAGTTTTAACTCTTCCCTTGACTTGTTGATTATCTAACATTTGAGCTTTGTGTTTGGAGTTGTAACATTTGAACCGGCATTTTGTGTCAACCCATTTATTCTTTCTTAGGATAATGAGCTGTAGAGGAGGAAGACATGATTAAAGCGTTATTTTTCAAATGAATATGAGAAAAGAAGTGTCAATACAAATGTTGCTAAATTTTTTGGTAATTTAGAGGACTTTGGTGACCAAGCATCCTTGTGTGATAAGTGGAGAATTGATCCGAAAATGTGGTGGTTGATGCATGGCACTTCAGCACCTCTATTTCAAACAATCGTCATAAAATTGCTTCATGAAGTTTCATCCTCATCTTGCTGTGAAAGAAATTGGAGCACATACTCTTTCATCCAATCAATGAAGAGAAATATAATTGCTCCATAATGGGCTGAAGATTTAGTTTGTGCATACAAACATTTAGCTTCTATCAAGAAAAACTCCAACTTATATGGAAGGAGATAGCATGATGTCTGATGTTAATGGAAATGGATTTGAGTTTCTTGATAACATAGGAATATTAAAAATTGCTAATCTTTCACTTGATGAGTCTGAATTGGAAGCTATGTGATAGGAAATACTTGAATTCGCAAGTAACCCTAAGGGAAATACTTGAATTCGCAAGTAACCCTAAGGGAAATACTTGAGTTCGCAAGAAAAACTATCATTAATTGGAAAAAACAGTGAGAAATAAGCAAAATCTGGGGGAAAACAGCCCC